GCCCCCGCCCATCCCCCCTGTTGCTGTTGCTGTTGCTTGTTGCGGGATGTGCAGTTGACGACTCTGGGGGGTTTTGGTGGAGACTCGTGCAGAGCATACCGTGCATTATTTTATGAGGAGAAACTTAAGATCGTTCTCAACACGGAGAAGGGCTCTAACGAACTGCGGCATTTGTGTAGAACGTATCTGGAAGGGCTCCAGTGGGTAGGCAGAAGAATGGGCTGTCTGACTAGTGAAATCCGTGTAGCAAAACGGCTCCTGTGGCCGATGCCCATTGTTTCCATGTCTAGTCCCAACCGTCTGCAGTTCTCCATCTCCTTTGCGCGCATTAGGTTGCATACTACTACTTCCGAGGCCCCGACGCGAGTGGGTGGAGGTGGTACTACTCTTACCACTATGCTCCCTTCATGCGGGACGTGCTCGAATGCGACGTATTTAAACCGTCGTTTCAAGATACGCAGAGGATGATTTCCACAGGCAAAGGAGCACACGCGCAACGGTTGGACCTTTCGTATCTTATAGAACGCACCATTTCATTGCCTAAGGGGGAGCCGTATTCGCCGTTCATGCAGCTCTTGTCAATCTTGCCACCTCAGTGAGTGGTAGGATTCCGCTGGAGAGAGGACCCACCCGTTCCGTTCATCCCTTCTTCTTATGGTTTAAATGCAACTGCGAAAACGCCACCGAGCTAGTCGGGTGACGTCTGCTCAGGTCGGCTGCATTACTGCCCCCCCAGCTGCGCCACCTGTTGACAAATCCCCCTCCGGAGCTTCAACCGTTCTTCCCGAACGATTTCGAAATCGATATGGAGGGAGTGAAGGTACGTGTTTGCTTCATCTGAGTGAACTCTTCGCTTTTTGCAATTCGTTGGATTCCGGTTTGCCTCTCGACGTGTCAGCAAGTAGCACCGGGCCAACATTCGACACACTTCTCGAGTTTTATGTCCTCGCATAATAAGCAGTGCTTGCTGGCTGTCCCTGCTGCCGTTTTTTGACTGGGGTGTTCTACAGGTCCCATGGGGGGGAGTGACGCTGCTGCCGTTTGTGGATGAATCAGTGCTTGAGCGCATTGCCCTTCCTCTGGTGGAAAAGCTTCCTCCGGAACTTTTGAAGAGAAATGAAACAGGGAGAGTCGTATTGCTTATGAGGGAGAAGAACGAGCACAGCTGGAGACAGCATGGCCTGTTGCTAATCGATAAACACTCGGACACTTACAAACTTGGCCAGCTGGCGTCCATCGACCCAGTATATGAGCAGGAGTGCTTCTTCTTCAAAAACAAGATAATAAATAGGAGTCTTGGTGTCGCATTGGACATTCCAAGCCTTGTAAACCGTATTAACGGCTCTATGCAGGAGGGAATTCCCAGCGGAAATGGGCAGCACCAGGTCTTCGTCTCGTCCCTTCCGTGGGCTTTTCCTGACGTAGTAGACAGTTGTGTGGTTGAGGAGGAGGTTCTTGTCTTACCACCTCTCGTGGCGGACCGCTTGGAAGCGTTCAAAGTTCTAGGCGTTCTTAGGATCCTTAATCTAAAGGACCAGGTTCTTTCACCATTCTCCTATTCGACCGCCAGAGATGCAGTGGCTAGCTACGTCGAGACATTGCGCTCGGCCCTACAGTCTACAGATTTCTCTTCAATGGGGCCGCGATCTGGCCCTCCTGTTAAACTGCAGCCGCTACCGAAGCTCCACCCTAAAGATGATGAATTTCTTTTCCCAACAACACCTCTTCCCGGAGCGTCGCCAGCTGCCGCCGTTTTGACTCCTTCCCTTTTTTCCAAGTGCATATCCGTGAGCCTGAGTTTACTGTCTGTCACATTCTCTGACCGCATCTACAAAGCAGCTATTTAATGCCTGCCTCTGCCATGTAGACACTCGGACCACCGGCTGTTTGATGTTTGGAGACGTTCAGAGGTCTAGTTGACAGCTGCCGTAGCTTACGAATTGGGTAAACCGGCCCCTTATGGTATTTCTTCATTTGCACATGCTCATTTACGTTCCGATGCTGTTTTGTGGTTGGCCGCCTCAGTGGCATCGCGGGACGGGAGTCAAGGTATTCAAGCGCATATCATCCAGTCAGTCGATTGTGCTGAGCGTTATGCCCTTTTCAAGGGAAGAGCTGCATCGAGGATCTGCATGTAGCATCGTTAGCTTGCTGAAACCTACGGAGACGCTGAATGAACTGCTTAGCAGCAGGTTCGTTCTCTTCGACTACCCGTTTGTAAAGCTTGCCTCGCCGGTGAGTTCACGCTTCTTGTTTTTTACTCAGCGTGCTATCTTAGGTACTGTTGAGCAGTGACGATAGATTCTGTAGGAACGACAGGAATGCTGCGGTGGAGGGTCAGTTTCCATTGGGCACTGCAGCGTTCCGGAGAACACCGCGATGGATATGCTGAGCCATCGTTCTCTGTCGTGGCGTTTAATGGTTACTGACGTTACTATTTTACTTTTTACTCGTGCTTTATATTTTCAACTGGTGGATATGTGTTGTCATGATGTGTTGCCGCTGCAGGTTGCTGTGTGGCATCCTACGTTTTACTTGCCCTTAGATTTCCGCAGCACAGCGAAATGTGCTGATATCCCCTCTGACCCTATGGAACAGTTGCAGGAAGTGGAGACGGAGAAGCGCCGCCTGCGTGCTCAGGGCATTCATGTGGCAGACGAAACGGAAGCCTTCCATTTCTTCACGCAACACACAGCAAAAGCCAGGACGGAGAAGATTGCTGAAAGACAGCAGAATTCTGCTTCTTACTGGGATCCAGAGGAGCAGGTCCTCTGTGGTTCCGACAAGGAAAGGAATTTAGGCTGTGCACCAGTACAGTCTCTTGAGCAGCAGCTGCAGCGCCTTGCACTAGACGTGACTTCGGCGCTTCCTGGTACGGAACAACAGCAGCTATCCCGTTCGTATCACCCTGACACAGCTCTTTCTACGCTTCTTGTTGAATTACGTCCAGTGGAGGATATTGTCATGGCAGAGAAACTAGTCGATTTACAGTCGACGAGCAGCAGCAGCGGCAACCCTACTTCTTCAAAGCCGTTTGAGAAGAAGCCTACTGCTTGTGTTCATTTCCGGTATGGGTCGGAGACGGTTTTCCGGCTGCTCCCTCTTCTATCAACGCCGTCAAGTTCCCTCCTTGAGAGCATGCAGCAGTGTCACCAGGACGTGATCGATGCAGTTGAAGCTCACAGGAAGGTCCGATGGAAGGCAGGGGATGACGTTTTCTGTATTGCTTCAGACAGGCAACAGCAGTTACGCCCTGGCCTCACCGGTGTGCTGGAAAAGGACCCCACGAGCGAGGACTCGCATGTATTGGTCCGCGTTTCATCTTGGCGAGAGGAGCCTATTGGATTTCAGGCGGATCTTGATGATGCATGCAGTGCGATCTGCGCAGCCAGCTCAGTGCGCCAACTTTCCCTTCACGACTGTCAAATCATACTTAAGGGGCGTTGCTGTCGGTGTGTTGACGTTAGTATAAGCACCCTGCATTGCCATAGAGGAAAGCTTGTGTGGTGCTGCAGGAAAGAGCCTACACCCTTGAAGAGGCAGCAGAGCTGATGGGAGTAACCCCTTTCGCCGCATTCCAAATTTTCTCCTCTGTATTCCTTAAGGAAGGGGAGAATATGTATGTAGGTCGCCAAGGGAGAAGCATTGCGCCTCTGTGTGGTCACGATGTCACAAACCCATTACCCATTTGATCTACCAATACGAAAAGAGTATAGTTTGTCGATCTACTCTCGAATAGCTATTCCCCTAAACACAGGCTGTCGTTCAGCCGGAAGGTTGCGTGCGGCGGTAGTGGCGCAGCCGTCTAAGGCACACATTGCCACCCTGTGTCTCAAGCTCCACTATCCATGCTCCGTGTAATGTGCAGGATTGTGGCCTTCATATAGCAATCTTCACGAAGGAGACGGGCAAGCCTGCCTATGTCGTCAGGTTTTCCTTGCCTTGGCCCAACCATGGCTCGCGTGACCTACAGCAATGTACGACACTGTAGATAGATTGCAACTGTATGCCAAAACCAAGCGGGTTCGCCGTTCCAGAAGTCCTGGCAATCACTGCATTGTCCATTGTGTTGTTTTGATGCTGTGGACAGCTCAATGCAGGTCTCACCTGTTCACAAGCAATGCAGTTGAGCTCGGGAAGAAAATTGTACGCGCCTTCCCTGCTTTAGGGAATATACTCGATTCGGTGAGCACCTGTCTAGTCAGTCTGCGTGCGTCCAGTGTCCGAGAACATGGCACTTTCCCCCATCAAGGCTCTCCAGCGATGTGCGGTATTAACTTTTGAGGGGTATGTTTGCCGTCTGTGATCTGTGTAGGTTGGTGGAAATGGTAGAAGCATTATGATGAACTGCCACCTGAAGGCAGCTGACGTTTTCCGTGGACTACCAGACCCCGCGTTTTTAGCATCTCGTCTGGCATCTATGGCGGCTCAGTCACCGTCTCGCCGCGCGAAAGCAGTGACCAAGGAATACGCATGGTTGCCGAACTCAAGTGGGTTTCCCTGCGGTGATACGCGAATGGCCACGGCAAATTTGTATGGACAGTGCACGGTATGCTAGCCCCATCTGCAACCGGCGACGGTGCTGCAGAATACAACGAGGCAAAGCTGTTCGTGAAGATAACTTCAATTTTATCGATTCCATATGGTGCGCTTCCGTTCAGTGTATAGTGCGTTGGATGCTGAAAGGGGTTCAAGGAGTGCGGGGTTGCCTGACCCTCGCGCGGTAGTCCTTCCTGCGAACGTCGTCAACTGCGTCCCGGCAGCAGACCTACTAACGATTCAGAAACACATCGTATCCAGTATGTCATTTTTGCGACTCGATGGCGTCGGGCTGTCGCCCTTCTCCGAAATTCACTTGCACGCCGTCTAAAACTAACACGATTCAGCTGAACATTTTCTCTGGTGTCACTAAATTGCTGGGCTGTTGGCCAGCAATAGAGTGTATGAAGTGCCCTCATCGAATTTTATTTTTGGCTTATTTGCTCTCTGCTTTTGTTCAGAATTCTTGGTTCTGCGTAAAGTCCAACAGGGGGAGGACGGGGAGTGCAGGTTTGTATACACGGTAAAGGCCCATTTGGGGCAGCGCGTGGCCTATGCGCGGTTCCGTGGGTCTGTTCCCCAAGGTGCTCATGGTACGGCCTGCGGGTTTGCGTCAAAGTTCGGTGGGTGCAACATTAAATGCAGTTACATAAACGATGGGGCTGAACGCACGGGTGCTACGCGTAGCCCAAACCCGCAAGCAAGCAGAGGGGCTGGTTCGAGGCCCCTTCCATTCGCCAGAGGCGGGGCCTACGTGGATTCCGCAGTAATAGGACTTGCAATCAGAAGGCAATTGAATTTTAGAGGACTCAGTTCGGAAAAACACGGCCAGCAGCACGAAGCAAAAATCCATGGCTGGAAGGATGCTGGACTTATTCTCTCTCAGATCAGTGCAGCGGAAAGAGTGTCTCTTTTTCAAAAACAACTGGCTTTCCTCGAGGACCTGTGCATTGAGGTACTACTGGACGAGCCTTGTTTGGGTGAGCCGTTTGTAGAGGTGCAGTGCTACCCGCAAGCTTCACCTGTACAGCGCGACAACCTCCTCGTAAGGTGTACTCATACTCCATGCTTTTTATTTTCACAGGAGCTTCGGACGGAAATGGAAGCATCGAAACCCTTAGAATCCTGCTTTGTCCTGCAAGCCACTGGCTGCCAATTTGCTCAGAGGTCAGTGAAGCTGCCACAGCATAGTGTAGCAGACTAGGTTTTCGCTGCTCCCGTTTCTAGCTAGTGGAGATGCACGCAGTGTAGCCTCACGCAAGTGCAGTGGTTGTTTCACGGTCACGCACTTTGCTTGGCCTCTGTACGTCTAATCGATGCCCTGCGTACCCTTGTGCCCTTTTCCTTGTTCCTTTGTTTTATGTTTCATTGACTTCGCGGGTATAAGCATATCAGGCGGCAGTGCGTATCATCAGAGACGGGGCCAGTTTGTGATTTAATGTGTTTAGTGATCCCCTCACCCCTTGTACATCCCCTGTTTGCGTAGTATGATAGCCTCTTTCTGTACGTGACCGTACACCTATACTTCCGTGAGGATGCAGCCATTATTACTGCAGCAACACGGAAAGTCCGCGACCCAGAAAGTGCTAGAAGCTCCGAACTGTGCGTTTTTGCCGAAGCGGACGCCGGAACAGAGGATGCAGGATCGGCGGCAGCTGATCCCGCATCTGTCAGGCTGTAGGCGGCAGCCTGACGTATCTCATTGGCCGCATCCTCAGCAGCCCAGCCGCCACTGCCCTCCCGATGTGCCACAGCAGCAGAGGCAGAGAAACGTTTTATCCGGAGTTTCGCATGGCCGGCACGAGCCTTTTGGTGGACGTGGAGCGCATTCTTCTCAGAATATTGTGGAAGGATGCTTCAATGCTCCTTTTCAGCATCCACAGGTATCATCACAAAGTCTAGAGCAGCAACAAACCTGGAATTCACCGGAGATGCCAAATCAACCGCGGAATTCTACCCATTGTACCCAAATGCAACAGAACCGAGGATTGGAATCAAAAGGGAAAGCTTTACTCGCCTTGTTAAAAGCAGAGAGACCAGGGACCAATCCTTAGAGTTGAAAGCATACCTCCTAATTTGTGCGAATCTTCGGATTCTGCCGATTACTCGTCTTATGGTGTACCGAGGAACTACCGCCGCAGGATATTAAAGTACAGAAGCTACTACACGGCTCAGTTTGCTCTTGAAATGGCTTTCTAGTGTATTGAAGTGGCAACCACTGTGGAGTTGAAGCCGTTGCTTTCCTTCGGGAAGACAATTCGCCATCACAATCCCTGTACACGGCTCGTGATTCCAACGGGCTGCCTGCTTCTGGCCTTCGTGAATTTGTCGTATCAAGGCACAAGCTGTTGTAACAGGTAGCGCAGAACAAGGCAATTTCCTCAGTAGCGGATTGCTGGTTCGCTGGAGTCGGCGATGGCGCGCGAGCAAGGTGTAGATCGCCAGTCTGACCCCCTGGCTCACAGTTGTTCACGGCAAGACGAATATTAGTCCGTTGATTGCTTGTTCTGGGTGTCTGTGCCTTCCCGACTGCCGATCTCTACGCCATGACCAGTTGGGCTACTCGACACGGTCGCTAGTAAATATAGATGGCTGCTGACCAGTGCAGGGGCAGCAAGGGCGATACTGCAGTTAGAGGCCGAGGGAACTTGCATCTGGCAGTTTTGACGTGCTTGAGGCTGCTGGCTGTTGGCCTTCCATTAGTACGTTATCAGGTGAAAGATATATTGTAGTCCAAATTGTTACAGGTTTATTACTAGCTTCTAGATATACTAGTGATATGTCAAACGCCTTCTCTAGTTGGCCTGACCCCCTGGCTCACAGTTGTTCACGGCAAGACGAATATTAGTCCGTTGATTGCTTGTTCTGGGTGTCTGTGCCTTCCCGACTGCCGATCTCTACGCCATGACCAGTTGGGCTACTCGACACGGTCGCTAGTAAATATAGATGGCTGCTGACCAGTGCAGGGGCAGCAAGGGCGATACTGCAGTTAGAGGCCGAGGGAACTTGCATCTGGCAGTTTTGACGTGCTTGAGGCTGCTGGCTGTTGGCCTTCCATTAGTACGTTATCAGGTGAAACGCAGCAACGAAGGCACTAGGTTGTTCTGTGACTTTGTGGGCAGTCATCAATACTTGCCATGCTAGACTAACACTGCAAATATGCGGGGCCGTTGACCGTTCAAGCAGGAGAAACGTTCTGCAAGTGGGCCTCGTGGGATCCAAGGAGATCTGCATACGCTTGTGAATGCACCGCAAGCAAAAATGCAGATAATTTTGCAACAGCTCCAGTAGTGGGGATCGCATGTTCATCTCATGCAGGTGCTTCAGACGCGGAGACTCATGGGCTGCCCCAGATGCTCGATACCACTGTCGATTTGCTTATCTAGAGGGTCCTCAGTACCTGCGCGTCCAGCATTTGCATCTTGCTGAAAGCGTATCCACGTGAGTGCGTTTTCCACCATCGCATTTATTTGTGTGCACTACGCCCAAAGAAGGTCGCTAGCCATGATATTGTAAGTGGAGTTTTGCCTAGACGCATTAGGCACAGGTGGGAGGTGCACAGACCTCTGGACAAGATTTGATTTAAGGGCCGATCGTTGGTCTTGCCCTCTGGACATTTCATTCTTGTATGGAAGCTCCACAAAGATATGGCTAGATTGATGATACTCACGTGGTCCATTTGCTTTTTCGTGAGCACAACCTTTCTAGATATGCGGATTTGGGCAGGACGAAATTCAGATCCAGGTAACGAGGGTCGCCTTCAAACCGAGTCACCACGAATGATACAGAACAGTACTTTAATATGCTGTTCCATTTCCCGTGCAGGAGTGAATTTAGTTGTCCTGGGGCCCTTCAGAACTGCATAACTTTAGGTTGTTTACCTTATTTGTTGCCAGAGAGCGCACAGACATGCTATATGACGATGTAGATAACGGACAACAGCGTCGTTGGCTGCGGAGAGTGCCAGGCAGTTGGCGTGAAGGTAGGGAACAGGTCTTGGGAACATGCCACTTGGCAAAGGATGATGAAATCGACTCCGCGTGCAGCCTTCATCATGAATTTTCGGGTGAAAGTGTCTGGTTTCCCAAAATTGGCACACTGTGGGGCTTACCCGCATGTTGATATGTAATTAACGTATCCTGGCGGACGCCGCTGCACTTGGCGTGGGGGTTTTTGCTTCTTCTTTTGCGTGCTTTCATTGCTATTCGTTCTTACTTCCTTAGGAGTAGAGCCCATTTCCTCCTCTGTACCTTATACATCTCTGAATAGGATACAGAAATGTACGCTCTTGTTGTGACTAGAACTAGCCGTTACAGTGGACTTTCGGCATGTTCGTTGCATGCACTGTACGCGCCTTAGGAGTTCAGCGTCTATTTGCTTATAAGTGATTGATCACTGAACCTTTCCACCTGTGAAAGTGGTGCGCTTTTGGGGCGACAACTGTAAATCTTAAAGAACGCCGGAGTTATCTGCAGTTATCTGCTTTGCTGTTTGCCTTCCCGCTTTCGAAGGCATCTCAGAGCCACTCTCCCACTCCTTACGTTACTGTCTGGGAGGACTTTTGATGTGCTGAACAGTGCCTAGTCCAGTATTCGCGAGTTTCGCATGATAGCATACTTGCTCATGTCATTGGAAGAACGAGTCAACTGTCTCACTTGGGCGGAAGCGGAGACTGTGCGCCTCGCACATTTGGACACAGAAATGCATTGAGCTAGCTCCTGTATGCGTACGCGTTCCTTCGCATATGCCCCTGCTCTTATCGTGCATTGTGTCTAAAGAACTCATTGTCGTCGAGCTGCTTCGCCATGGACTGCAACGCAAGGCCATGTCCCCGGTTTTTTGACATACATGCACAGATATATATTGTGCTAGTGTGCAAAGATGAGAGCAAACATCAACTCCTAAGAATGTGTGAAACACAGAGTAGTGCAGAGTAGACCCTATTTGAGTATATGGACGGGGGGGGTCTGGTAGATGGTGGTGGGTGCACGTGATTTGTGTGCATGTTGGCTATTGAGAGAGAGCCAAATCCTTTACTTTAAAGCTATCTACGGCATCTGTACGTGCAAAAAGACGAAATTGAGTACGCTTGCACCTGGGGTTGGCCTTTCTGCAGTTGTTCCGCAATACGGTCCTGCAAATCTAGGGTAAAGCCTAATGTTCTCATCAGTCGGTGGCGATGCTTCCAGGACACCTGCTGACTGCGGGGAATGTTTGACACTAAATGGGCACAACTATCGTCTGTGGTTTGACTATACCGGAGTTCGTTCCAGTCTTTAGCTAAAATCAGTGGTTTCCCTTACACTAGATAGCACAGCCCACTTCCGGGGAACAGCGCCCTCTCCAACAATTGGCAGACAACTTGGCGTTCTCCTGCTTGCGAAATTGAAGCTGTTCAGGAGTCATACTGTAAATGTCCGACTTTTCTGGCATCTTCCCAGGCATTAGTAGGATTTCATAGGACGCGTCGATGGCAGCCCCTTAGGGAGGGAGGCTGTCAGGCAATAGATCTCTATGGATCCTCAACATCGCTGGGACTCTACCGGCTCCAACCGCTCATCGAACTTTGAAAACTCCATCATAACAATCGGACAGAGGAACTCCTCTTCCCCCTCAACATTCGACATTCCGGCGGGGATCGCGTGCTTGTCTTCTCCGGTGTACGTGTTTTCATGCGCAACATGAAGGTCAGTGTTGCTCATCTGGCAACATAAGGGCAATTTTCTTGTCGGATTCAGGCAGAGCCCATACGAAATACAATCGCTGTAGTGGATTCCTTAGTCCATGCCTCTCAGCCGTACCTGTTGGAGTAATGCCTTGAAAGAAGCCTTCTTCCCTGCGCTTGCACGGGTCAAGTATCTCTTTGGAGCTAGTCGCATGAGTACAGCCGCCTCTTCGGCTGACATCCTGGCCACCTTCTTAGCCAGTAGATCGTATGACTGCTTTGCACGGGTCCTGGGGACACCTTGAGGGTACTGCCCTCCCTTTTTTTTCCCCAAGGCTCGCAGAATAGGTATCTCACACCACTCGCATTCCAGATATGTTCGTAGCTCATCAGACTGCATTTCTCTCCACCACAGTGGTAATGTATTATCCTTATCTGGCCTATTGCCCTCATGGGGCGGCTGCGTCTGCACTTCATGGCTGCTCATCCTCTCTCCTTCGTTCTCTCTGCCACATATCGGCTCCATCTGTGCCTTGTCGTGTGCCGCTGATGTCCTCACATCAGGCAGCTTCCCCCACCACTGTGGGTAGACGGGAATGGCGTTAGGTTTTGTCGAAACTGTTCCCATCTCCGTTCTACCGTAGGTAGGCAGCCTACCACGTTTTCCTCCGTCAGCCTCTACGCTCCCTCCGTTAAGCGCTCATAACTCCCATCTCTGTGCAGAGTTGGGTGCGGTCCAAGCTCTCTCATGCTCTCCACCCTCCAGTGAGTTCTGAGTGCATCATGGTGTGGTATGGGAGGTAGCTCTTCGAGTCCTGGTAGGTGTATCGTTCTATTGAAGTAATATATGCTTTTTCGTTGTCAGCTCTTACCTCCCAATCCGTTTCGTATCGGGCTGTTGTTTTTTCCCGTGAGGCATACCTCCTGTCTGCAGCTATTTGGCTTCCACTGCCTAGTCACTTGCGTGTGCGTGAATCAGACAACGTAGTTACTGCAAGAAACAGGTTCACCAGGAACCGCAGTCGGCATGACAACGGGTCTAGGGTCGATTTTTCCTGGACCATCACCCAAACGTAGTACGCAGCTCACACTAGGCTGCGTCTTCGTAGGTTCAGATCATGCTACTTGGTTCACCTATACTGCTAGGCACCAAAGCACAATCCTTACTTACCCCCCAAATATCCCCAATATGAACCGGTTTATACACTGTGTACAACCCATGTTTATATGCGTTAGCTATATATACTATACACCAATACACAAACGTAGGTTAATATATATAGGAAAAAAGCGACAAAAAATAGGTCTGTCCCTCCTCGGCCCCTGATGCTGGATCAGCGCCTCATTATCCAAGCCAGCCAGCCCCATGGCCGTGCTGCGCTGCTGAAGCTCATGGCCGGTTAGCCCTATTTCATGAATAAATATCCTAAATCAGCACTAATATTATGTTAATCGTTTCCTTTCGCGGAATAAACAGCTATAGGTCTCACACGGTGGGCAACTGTAGTGCCTTTGCACTGCAAAAGCCACCGCTCTCCCGGGCAGCTACTGCACAATCTGCTCCATTTGCAACGGAATCGATGGACTTATAATTTGATCTTAATAGAGTTGTGGTGACTGGTCTAGCTGTTTGGATTTCTTGGCTCGCATTTGCCGTGATTTTTTTTGTTGATCGTCAAGTTGTCACGATGAGCAAGAAGAGCACAAGATCCACTTTCGCTGGGGTGAACTCCGTACTTCTCTTGGCTAATGTAGTGATATTTTTTATTGTAAAATGCTCAGATGTTACAGCTGTTCATGAAAGCAGTGGGGGGTTAGTCGAGGCCGCTGTGGAAGATCAATTGCATGTGCTGGCCGACACTAAGCCCGATCCTCCCGTTCTTCAGCCCCCCGTTAGCGGTGCACAAGCTTCTGAGGAGGTGCTTGCCGTAGGAGATGATGCTTTTCTGCTTCAAAAGAGGGAACAACCGAAGACCCAGATCAGAGAATCCCCCCACAGCACTCCCAAGGGGGTAGTGGGCCGCATGATAACTATGAGCCTGCTTGCATCTGTCGTAGTTCTCCTCAGTTTGGTCTTCTGGGAGGTTATTAACTTTGTGGATAACGTTCCTGATCCATTTAAGGATGTGACGGACCCCAAATTGATTCCTGTGGTCATCGACGACATGATAGCCTCTGGGAAGTCCGCCGCCTTTGTAGTAAGGTAAGTATCGGAGGTTTTGAAGCTCGGTTCCTTGTGCATTCGTCTTTCTTCCACATACAGGCCACTAGTAAATCCAACTTGTACATAATCGTTCGTTGTGCATGCTACGGTTCCTGTGTGTCTACTGCTTCCTGAACGATGACGCAGACGATGTAAATTCTGCGGGATAGGAATTCGTGCGCTGAGGAAAGCGGGAAAGGACACGGTAAGGGACCTACGGGATGCCTCGTAGTGAAACTGTACTGCCCCTATTTGACTACCCCATCTAGCGCGCTGCAGGGGAGCCATTTACATGCATTCGAATGGCTCGGCAAATGCAGGTGGAAACAGTTCTTCACCAAAGAAGCACTTTTTTGTTGTGATCACTCAGGTGGTGGTTATGGTTGAAGGGCATCCCTATCAAGGCGTGATTAGTCGGCATCTGAGGACCAGATATGGGGCTAGGGGATTTCCGTTCTTTATCATTGATAGCGACCGATATGGCTACCTGACAAAAGTAGTGAGACATTCCCTGAACTTGAGCTTCCCTGCATGTATATGCACTTCGGGATAAAATAGATATGATTATGGTAACATTTGTCCCCGTTTCGACGAGGCAAGGGACTCGTTGGCAGTCTGTGCTCGCATGTGTGTGTGCGGTGTGCTTGCCTTAGAAGCAGTACTTGCAGGACGAGCTCGCCCAATGAGGCACAAACATGGGCTTACACTCAGTTTTCCCCTCCACGACTTTTCCCCGTACGAGTTCGAAGGAGTCCCCAAAAGGTCTGTATATTGCTTGAAGCGTTTATTTCATGGGGTTAATGGTTTTTCTAGAATACATGTAGTTGGCGCCCACGGTCATTCAGTGTGGCTTTAGCAGTGCAAGCCAGAGGAGAACGGGACTACGCAGCATTGGATGTTTTTGCGATGCTTTGCCAATTCCACTGTGGTAAGTCCATGTACTCTCCTACTTCAGAGCTTTTAGAATTTGTCGGTAATGTTTTTTGGTCCCCGTATTTATTGCTCCACTGGAGACCTGTGGGGCGCCTAACAAAGATGGTTTCCCTCCCGTTGAATCGCCCATAAAAGTTCTCGAAACAGGTGCAGGTTGTGCACTTGACTTTTACTGATGTACTTTTTCAGAAATTGATATTTCGTACGCCGGGATTTTATGCTGCTTCCCGGCCGTTTTTGGCGTATACAGCCAGACTTTATCTGCGACGTATTCGCGTTAATGTGTAGTATTTTCTGGTGTTTGGATTGCACGCTCCCACGAGAGTTTAGGGTTTACTGGCGCTTACCTATTCGCACAATAGAAGAGACAGTAAAATGACAAGAACAACAAGACAGAAACACGCAGGCGTTTGCATGCGTGCCTGTTGAGTGTTTCTGTCTTGTTCTTGTCATTTTACTTTAACATGCATGTATACACTTATGGCTGGCAGTTCTTCTTAGCTTAGTTAGCGATTCATGCCAAAATACAATTGTTGTCAAGCAGCCTTCATATACGTCCAGCTTGCTCGAAGTGCCTCATTGAAATTGTAGGGGTACTGACAATCTGATAGAGCCCCGCAGCAGCTTGACTGCTAACACCTTCAAAACACCAATGCCCCAAATCTCTAGCTTGGGATCTCTCTCTCTTTAGCTTGGAGGATTGTGAATAAGCTAGCGTAGTTTTTCTTGTGGGTGGCGTGACAACTCAACTTATTGGCATTGCAAGACGCATTCCTGCATGGGCCCACTCCGGATTTTCCCATACCGTGAATTCATTTAGGGCTGCAATTTCACCGCAGCAAACGAAGCAGCCATGCAATCCAAGAGTTGTTTCTCTCGTTGTACCGGGTCTCTCTCTGAGGTGACCCACGAAGTCTCTCGGCCGTTAGGAGCAAAGGGCCTCTGTGGAACGGCAAGAAGGTGGGGTTTATTGTTTGCGTCGGAAGGTATTAGGGGTGGTCCTGAGTTTTCCGGAGTGGCTGTTTGCCGGTTGGTCACGGCAGGGCAGGCGAGGGACGATAGCCTGCCAATGGCCATCCCGAAAGCTGCAGCTGCAGCTTGCAATTCAGCGGCTGCCTGCGGATAGCAGTTACTCTGCAAAACCCCAGATGATAGTTCTTTTGCATCGGTTTAATTGGCTACTGACCGCCTGAGGGTACAGCTAGTCAGAACTGCACTCGCGTTTGCCAATGGCAACTTACATGGATGGCAGCGGTAGTCAACCCTTCCCTTTGCATGTTGCCATGTGGGCGATTAGCAGAATTGCCATGATCGACCTCCGTCTGGATACCCAGCGAGTTGTTTGAGGCAACCCTCTTGTGTTTTGGACTCGTGCTTCTGCATCATTCAGTGCAAGCACTTTAGAAACAAAATCGTGCCTAAACACACCTGGCGACACATAATTAACTCTGGAGAGCGTCTTGAAGACTCAGGACTTGCTGGTTGCGGCTTTAAGTTAGTGCCCGGCTCACCCCAGACCCATTTTCTCAGCTTACTTGGTAACGCCTAGTGGCAGTCGGAGACTTCTTGGCCCCAAATGACTTTGTTGTGTATTTGGAATCTGCTTTTGGCTCCCAGCTGGGTATCGATTCCTCTTTTGCTCCCTCTGGGCCTCCGAACATCTACCCTTACATGCGTTTCTCCTTTGCCGGTTACTTTGCACACCTACGTCATCTAGAACATTGCAAGCAGCAGCGGTGGCAGCATCGGCAACGGACAATGTAGAGCCTGCAATTGCTTGCGAGCCGCTACGATATGAGCGCCCGTGTTCTGGTGAGGGACGATAGACAGGAGCAGAGCCATGTGATGGCAAGTGGCATCGGCAGGCCGCTTTTGTTTTTGAATCCCCTCCCTACAGTGCAAACAAAAGCACAAAAACCATAACTTATAAAAACGGAATTACACGTAGTTCATTTTCCTCAAACGGAACGTTCGGTACGATCGATAGAATCGCCAAGCAGTTTGGCCGTCGCATTTTCATTTCAGTGAGGCCTCATCGGGATATCTTTTTGGCGGGTGCACCTCACCTGTGCATGTGCCGGAGCGAAGGAGGAGTGAAACCGGTCGCAAGTATGTAGAGGATCTTCTGCTGAAGGAAGCATGTGTGTGTTTTCGGTCTGTATGGCTGAGTTCACGACGGCTGGCCTGTGGACTGTTGCCATCCTTGACGAAGGCCAGGCGAGTTCGCTCTCTTGCTGATGATGCTGATGACCCTGCTGTTCTTGCTGGTGTGAACTAAGCTGGATAGCTGGCGCTTGCTTCGGCGCACATGCGTTTCTCAGCTCTCCCGCCCGTATCACGGGTATGCGATCAATCTGATGCGCCGTTCCATGATTCCACCACGTGGGAACGTTTGTCGAAGACCCCCGTAGAGTATGAACCCAAGACGTGGGAAGGGCCCCACAAGCTTTTAGGAGGATATCGGCTGGCAGGATCCCCCAACCAAATCGACCAGATGTGTTGCTGAGGTGAGGACCTGCAGGGAAGCCAGGGGTACCGGAGCTTGCACCAGAATGTGCAGACCCCAGTGCACAGGGGGGCGCCAGGCCGCAGTAGCTGCCAGAGATGTTTGAGGAGATCCTGCATCGAGCCGAAGGTTGAATGCCACACTGTGGACATGAAGGACGCGAAAGTTTCTTTGCAGTTTCACCAGATGCTGGTGTCAAATCTCCATAGGCGGAAAGAGGCTGGCCCTTCTTTGTCTGCTGCAGCGGCTCTGTTCCCAGAGAGGAAGAGTTGATATTTTCCTTGGAGATAGCAGATGAATGTTCTTCGCTGAAACACCGATTGGCTGTCGACCGCCAAACAGTACATATATCGGATCGGCATACCGCAACGTTGTTGCTGCCACAGCACCTTGTTTGCTGCGAAACAGCCTTACTAGCATCAAGACAATCGGTTGGCGCTGTGGGGTTTTGTTCCTGTCGCACCGTTGGCGGGGAATGAAGGCCTAAGGGAAGCCGATTTTCATGGTGTTCACGCCGATGCATTGTCGCTGTGTCATGAGAGGACGTAAAGACTGAAACCGCACTTTGTGATTGGGAAGCTGCTGAAGGCTGCTCTTCTAGCCGACAAGGTGATGAATCATCACAGTTGAGTGTTGGGCAAGGCAGGTTGCTGCTGGCTCCACGCGCCCTCTGCCTCCAAGATCCTTGCGGATCTTTACGTGGAAGTGAAGCTTTGCCACTTTCTTGATTTGTAGAACTGCTGGTTCCACGGTGGTATAGGTAGACATTCCTCTCTGTACAGCAACATCCTGTGCATCCAGAATGACGGGTGCGGCGTCTGCTGGCGGTGCAACAACATTTGGTTTTTTTAGTCGCTTCCGGATTGGCGGAGGGCCTGTTTCCAGAAGATTGTACGCGATTTTCACCGGCCTGGCATAGCGGCTCCATGCCCTTTTCTGTGGCACAATTGACTGCACATTCGTGTGCTTCACTGCGGGTGTTTCTGCAGAAAGAGGTGTTATACGCGTTTGATATTTCACTGTTGGAACCTTTAGTGTCTCTTTAGAACTGCTATTTGGTAACATCAAAGATCACGTGGTCGGTGAGTTACTTTGAACGATTTTCTCCGCAGGGGCTGCTTTTTTCCCTTCAGCAGCTCCTATGACATTGCCGGCGTCCGCAAGTCTCCGGTGGGCTTTATCAGAGTCACGCGAATTCGCTCGCTGGTCACTGCTGCGTTTGTTAGCCTGAGGAGTATTGCGGTGGCACGAATAATCTTTTGTTGGCAAGAGCTTGGCGGGAGGGGGAGGCTCCTTGGATGGTGAATGCGATTCTTTTTCCGGGTCTTTGCTCTTTACTTCTTTCTGCTAGCAGCAAAGCAGGACCGGCAGTGCAATGGATGTATGCTGCCTTGTGTTAAATTTTTAGTCTTTTCAAGGCTGGACGTAAACACATTTCATACATTTGCTGAGCTTTGTGATCGGCCCTTTCAAACTTACCAAAGGACGTGAAACAGACGGACTCCCCGGAAACGCTGGCAATTCAAAAACCAGATGTGCTTCGTCTACAGAGCAAACAAATGCCGTACGAGTGGCATGACTTTATCAAAAAGAAGGGGTAGCTGTCTCTGTGCATATTCCAAGTGTCAGCAGGTCTTTCATTCAGACGTGTACCACTGCTTCACTTTTCTGAATGAGTTAACTGCCTTCTGCTCCTACCTACCTGCTGATGCAAACATAAGGGTATCGCCACTTTCTAGCGGATGCCACACATGAGGCTCTAGCCGACGGTTATTAAGCCATGTTCCTTCAACGCCGCAGTAAAACACATGATCGCAACCGCGGAGTGAGAGAAAGCATACCTTCCCAATTAGATGCTCCCAGCATCAGCCCGAATTATACGAAATCTGCTTTTCACAGTACCCGCTGGAATTGCAGCTTATTAGAATGTTTTGCGTCAAGCTGAATTTGATGTACCGTTCAACGACGCCAAATCCTTAACAAACGCCTTCCTGCAGCCGTTTCCATTAGAAAGATCGTGGTTAGATGCAGGGCCTTCTCCTTCATGGCAGATAACACATGCCTTATGCTGCCTTTACGGGGCAAGAACATCAATAATTTGGTGAAAGAATGCGTAGGCCTTGAGGCCTGTTGAACACGTGACGGGAAGGGCCCACCAGCATCCTCAAAACGGTAATCATCTCTAGTGACTCGTCCATTGAAGAATATTACCTACCATCGCCGAGCAGGTGTAGACCCGTCAAGTCGAAGGCGGCGTGAAAACGAGATATCCCGCCACAGCGGATTGTGATGTCGCAGCTCCGCGCCCTCCCGAGATGGAGCAAGGGGTGCTCAAGCTGGTAAAGGATGCGCCTTCCACGCAGGAAAGCAAGCGCTCTTGGACGATTGTTCGGTTGTGTCATTCCAACTTGTTAGGTTGTCTCTTGTTGGCTAGGTGCTTTTGCAGTGGCAGGATCCTACATCGCGTGAACGCCTAATTTTCGCGAAAGAAAGAGCACAGCTGGCGGGGGTTCGTCCAAAAGCTATACCTCAGTCACGGTTAAACTCTCATCTACTTTGCAGTGTACTAGTCAAGTGCAAGGATTACCCGTCCACTGAACAGTGTTAAAAATAGTTCTCCCGTCACTAGACAAATGGTGACGACCGGTGCAGCGGAGCTGCTACATGTCAGCAGCAGCAAGGAGTCCAGAACCCTACTTATTCTACTGTTGGTTTTCTAAGTGATCGTTAAGGAAGGTAAAGCGTGGAGACGCAGCTTGCAGAATGCGTCTGCGCGCCTCGTACCAGCTGATTCAGAGTGTCGGGCGCATCAGGCTCGTAGCAGTTTCCCCAAACCTTTCTCTTCTCTTTGTGTATCAACGTTTAATAAGAAAGTGGGGAACGAGAAGAAGTGCCTTTCTGCTCTGACGCAAAGATGCGCGAGATGCAGTTGCAGTGCCGGTGATCTAACCGTAGGTGTCAAGAGCCTGTTGGTGTTAGAGCGGGGAGCCGAGATTCTACTGAATTTTCCGCTTGTTCTTTATAGCGAAACAGCAACTTTATAGTGAAAATATGACTAGGTCCCAGTCATCATGCACTGAGTGCCTGTGGTCGACTAAACTGGTTACAAACGCAACGTGCAGCGCCAGTCGGCGACATCGCAGGCCAGGGATGCGGCAGGCCGGGGAAGAATGAATGCTTGGAGCCTGTCGGCTGCGCTTCTCCCGAAGTTGAAAAAACAGTCTTTTTCTCTCATAGCATAGTGTATCAAGGAAGATTTCGCCCATATGAATGTCCTCCTTGTGTGCACAACTGGCAGTCGCGCATTTGAGGCGTCGCAGTGAAAAAGCCGCGGCGGTCGGCATTCCGGTGGCTCTCATTTCAAGGATTCTTGATCTTTTCATCGATATATTTACCAGAAAAACACACTGGTGAACAGTTGTGGAGGTTCCGGGAGCTTTCGTAAAGTTGGAGGCCTGGTGAGTTTGTGCCCCTACCGTGCTGCAATGTCGATGCCCTAAGGAGCCAAGTTTCCTTATTTAACTAATTGTGAGCTTATTTCTCCTCTCTGCTCTTGTCTTCTTTACATTATTTGTTTGAGCCAACACACCCCAAGAGGGGCTACGCATAGGCAATAGCCTCACACTGTCTTCGATTGCCGTGCAGGTCTTCGGCGTATGGCTCACTAGCCCGGTTTCGCCTAATAATTGCAGCCGCTGTGCAACTTTAAGTGGGGGTAACATGGACAGGTCCTCGAGTACATCTTCTTCCGGCATCGGCAGAAGCCGCGCATCGGAGTTGAAAGTGAGCTCTTCCACTCCTTTTGGGGTTGCTGCTCGCCGACTGAGCTTCACACCCAAACCAGGGCTTGCAGAGCGGGTTAAGGGGGGAGCTTCTGCTTTTTCACAGATGTTTGAATTTTTCAACCCATCACCTGTGTTGTCTACTCAGACTGGGTCGGCACCTGCTTCCGAACAGTCTGCGTCAAGAGGGTCAACACCTTTCCGTCGGCAGAAGGACGGGTTGGCACTCAACTGTTCAGCTGAACAAGAGCGAAAGATAGGGTCCACCTTTTCCTTCTCGCGAGTGCAGGCTGCCGGGGGGGCACAGGGATCTATAGGAAGGGAGTCAGGCTACTGGTCATACGCTGCGCCGTCGCCCTCAAGTGCGGCGGACCATTCTTTAGCCTTCCGCTCCAGATGCGACCCGCAGTCGGCATATTTAGAACATGAATCCAAGAGTGGTAGTGTGAAACCTGCAGGGAGTGGCAACATCGAACGGATCTTAGGCACCAACCCCACGGCCGCTGGCAAAACAGGAGAGCCGGCCGCGCCAGCCAGCCTACGTCAAATGGTTGCTCCCCCAAATGATGAAGAATTAGAGGAAGAGGAGCAAGTGCAAGATGATGCAGATTGGCACGAACATGAGGAGGAGCAAGATCCAGAATACTGCAGTGGTGATGTCGCCAAGGCATTGTGGGAGAAGAGAGTTCCACAAACTTCGACTCAGTACCCTATTTGCTCGCGAACGTCTAGAGTACGCCGCTCCCCCTTGCCTGTAGATGCTATTGTATAGACGAGATAGATGGGAACCAGTGAAGGTTGCTGCTAGTGATGCCAGGGAAATGGTTGCGCGTTGTAAGGGAGCGTCGGGCATGAAGTAGAGAAATGAGCGCCGACTCTTTCTTGGTGCTTTACCATACAGGAACGTTGTGCCTACACAACAAGCGATGACTGGGCAATTTTCGCCTTGCACAATCAGTATGTGCGCCCTCTCAGGGACCGCGAATGGGTCCCGGGAGAGCCCTGCATAATCCGCAGGAACTCCTTTGAACTGCCTCCTGGTGCCTGTGAGTTCCATGACACCCACTGTACTGAGTAGTGTTCGTCTTTCAAGCACTGAGTTTTATTGGTTTGCTGTGTATAGGCGCCTTTGCACTGTCCTCTTTCTGGCTCTCTCCGTTGCAGACCGTTACTCAGAGAGCAGCTGTGGCGTTCCTGCCACGGCATTCGAGAGCTTTGTATTCCCCAACCCTCCACGACAATTCCTCATCTCAGCCCGAGGAAGGACCTCTGGCAATGTAGGTTTTGCGCCCCCGTCTTCCTCTATAAGAATGGGCACGTCGAGAAACGGAAATCGAGGACGCTGTTCTCAACTAACACAGCAACAACTTCTCGACTTAGAGAGGTGAGACTCAACGGTGGTTGTTGTTCTTCACAAGAGTCCTCCTGCTTCACTAGCAATATAACGGGGTCCATCTTTGCATGAGTTGAACGGCGTCAGTGGCTGTGTAAATGCTGTTCCGTTCCACAACTTCTTTCAACACGACTGTTTGGCCATTCATGCTACATTTCGTATTTTCCGGTGTAAAGCGTTAAATTTCTCTGTTTGGTGCGTGGTCTCAGAATGCTATGGTTTGATCCGGAGCCACGATTGGAGAGGCCATTCCGACTATACGCGGATTCCAAGACGTGTCTTAAGGTAGGCATTCCAGAACGTTGCTTCTCAACTTCTTAATTGGTGTTGCCGAGATTCAAAGAAAAAGGACTCGACAGCAACTTCGAGCCAAACGCATCAATGCAAATTTGTCATGGCTTTCGTCGGTTCTGCTGCAGGGACGACTTTATGACATCGGGCATATAATGAGGAGTGGCTGGTGATTGCGGAAACCTTTTGCGCGTCAACTGCGCTTATTGGGAACTGAATGCGCCATCGAGGGGAATGCCTTACACAGGCCAGCCAATGCTTTAGCACTTACTGTGACAATTGATCCAGGAATTTTGGTTTTATTCGCTAAGCAGATTAGATGTAGGTTTCGCTTCTAACAAATAAGACCTTAATATGAAATTGATTATCGGGTGTATTCAACTGCAAGCTAAACAGCGCAGCACGCTGCAGGCAAAGAGTAGGTATTAACTAGTTGTACTGTTTGAAGGAATACTAGTCTGGATTTTAGATTTTTTAAAAGGAACATTCCAATTCAACTTGATAGTGATATGAAGTGTAGGCTGCGTTGTATACCAGCCAGGCTAGCGGTCGAGCGAGTTTAACAGTAGAGCGCAGCGCAAGACTGTCCGGCGTCCCTTGAGAACATTCCAGACATCCTAAAGCTCCAACACGATGTATTTAACTGTAATTTTGGCTGCGCCCCACCTTTTCCTGGAAATTTGCACACCCTGTAACGTTGTCACGGCCTGCTAAAGACATGGTGGAGAGGTCGGGCACCTGCCCGTTTTCCTGTGTTATCTCCTAATAAATTGATAGTTCACTACGTGTTCACTAATGAAGTGAGAATTAATTGGAGATAACGATGAGCAGCCGCCATTTTTCTAAACATGGTCGTCTGCAGTGGTGACGAAACAGTCCGCGGGCGAATCGACATGGCCTCGATAATCAGGTCGGGTCCGATGCAGGTGTATGTCTCTCTCTGTTCTTATTAGATGCACTATTGTTAGTTTTTTATTTTAATTTAACATATCTTCTGTGGAAAAGTTCCCAATCCAAGAGTTCATATGGAGCAACACTGCTGGAGCCTAAGCAAAGCTTGCAGCTAGCAACGGCCTCCCCGCTCCCCTTACTATACTCCAATGACCTTTCAGCAAGCATCTGCGGCAGTAAAAAAGATATATAAACGTGAGCAGATGTCAAATGTCGCAAACATTGACGGTATAACTACTTGAGGAGCCGCTGTGCCACCAAGGGCAGCGCCGAAACCAGCCGCAGACCACGTCCAACGACAGCCGGTGTTTATGATTGTTTAGTACCTCAGACAGAAGAAGCTGCGGTCTACCCATGAAGACGGCATGAATAGTATCTTGCCATCTCAAATGAGGAACGATTCATTGTGACCTGATTCGGTGGTGGGCGTGGAATGCCGGTCAACTTGTTGACACACTTTGTCCTCGTCCCCGTTCAGAGGTTGTTCCGTAGGAGATATATGCATATATATGCGAAGTACTACTCGAAGAGAGCAACAGTTATCCCAGACGATGCCGGATTGGCAGTAAAATTACATGGGTCTCCATTGGACAGCGGATGCAATAATGGAGGGCTACAGGCAGGATGAGCGCTTCCAAAACGGCTCAAACAATGGCACGTCTTCGATTCCCGTGCAGTGTGGAAGCAAAGGCGAACTGCGCCCAGCCTTTGAGGAACAAACCAGTTCCAGAGACGCATGCCAGTTGAACGAATTGCCACCAAGCGCAGCCTTTCGGGGAGAGGCAATTCGGCAAAAAGAAACAGAGCCAGGTTGCAAAGTCCAGCCTGGAGTAACAAGGCCCCTCGGCTGGACGGCTACCAAAACATGCCAGCAGATCAAGCCGTCCTCATACAGGCTTGGCGGTGACACCACAAACTACCGGGGAGTTCAAACGCCACCAGCTTTTCGGGAAGGCGCCAATCCAGAGGGCTCTCGTCCTGTTGCACGGCCTTTGTCTGTCGGACCATCGGTCCGTCGATCACAACTCATGGCCAATCGCCGCTCCAATGCATCCAGTGTGAACATTCCTGAACAGAGGCGCCTAGCGCGTCAGCAACAGCAAATGCTGCAGTTCAAATTGCACACTAAGAAGGATGGCAAAGTTCCGGGAAGCCTAGGTAATGTTGGAGATTATCTCTTGCATACGGATGGATCAAACTGCTCTGTTAGATATTCAGAAACACATGCATTCACTGGTTCAGATGCATTTGAAGATCCCAGCCTCCCACATCTCCAGAGACGTCGCACATGGATGCTGCTGCAGCACCTCGTAGATCAGCTGGAGAAGCAAGGGAGACCTGATGTTCTTCTCCAACGCCCAGACCTTCTTCAGAAGTTGTTGCATGTTATCATGCCGCTACTTCCCCTAAAGGCTGCTCTCGGTAAATTTGCCATGAACAGCAAAACGACACACTCTTCTCGTCCTCAAGGCTCTGTTGGTGGGGCTCATCAGCCAACTGCCCGCATGGCACAACCAACATCCGGAAGGCCTTTATCTACCTCTCTCTTCCGGCAAATGCATACAAACGCCCCACCGCGCAGTGCAGAAAGCAGCACGCATCCGATGGCGCTCCATTACTCTCAGCCCCGCCTACCAAGGACTCTCCCGGCACCTACCGTTCGGGGGATGATGCAAGTGCTGAGGGACTTGAGTGACGGTAATTCCACGACTTGGAATCCCAGTATCAACAACCACGAACGCGCTATGGATGCCACCCACAATGCGGCCAACCGTTTGTCGAAGGACCGCGATTCTAGGCGTGCCTCTTCGACACGAGTCCGCAGCGTTCCCATACGTGATCTGGGCACTTCAACTGGATCTGGTGGAGTTGAGAAGCCGTTGCACTGGTATGATAAGCCTCGGCCAGTGCGTGCAGTTAGCAGAGGGAATGCATACACGCATGTGGCTTCAAGGCTACCTCAAGGCGCTCTACAGCATAGGAGGCCGCTGAAAACACGGTCACAGGCAGTTTTGCTGGAAAAGAATAGTGCAGAGCGAAAACCATTCCGACCTTCTGCGTTGGACTGGGCTACCTCTCCGTGCCTCAGCAACGAATCAATGACAGAGCCTGTTGCATCTGCGAGATCGGGCGATTCGGAAGACACCATCAAATCCGCTGCTACTCCATCACTAGAGAGCGCTATGGAGGACTATCCAGAGCTAGGACGTGCCAAGCAGTTGGATAAGGAGCGTCCTGGGCTTGTAGATCGGAGTGTCAAGCGGCCGCAGTCTCTTGTGCGTTTTACCGTTACTCGAGACGTTGAAGCATTGCCACCTTCTCCGCGGGCCAGTAATTCGGATGGGGAGATACCACAGTCGAGCGTATCGGGAAGGAGCGCTCTGGAAAACCAAAGAAGCCCCGCATCCCGCGAAGAGGTTCAGTCTGTAGATCACGATACCCGTCACCTAGCGCCTAATTCAGCAGGCAAGAGACGACAACCTCCAGAACCTGGACCTACAGCTGCGAGGAGACATACAGTTGCTGCCACGGTTGCTTCCCCACAGCGTAGTACGGAGGAGGAAAAGCTGATTCGCAGTTTGGAAGGAAGTACAGAAGGTTCCTTAGGACCACAGGAAAGACGTGAAAGGCGCTTTACTGCCTCGGCAGTAACGAAGTTTAAAAGCACGGCGGCAGCGATCAAGGGTGGTCGCCTTGTTTTTGCGGGGGAAGAGCCAGATGGAGGAGCTAAAAGCCAAGGGATTACTCGAATTCCACTTTTAAAAGACATCCCTAAAGCCCGTGAGGGGCGAAGGGCCACAACTCAAATTGGGACTCCAAGAAACGGCAGTCCACTCAGCCCGAAGCTTCCCTATGGGGCAAAGAGAAAAACGTCGCCTGTAGTCACTAGAAAGCTAGGGAAAAAGGGTAGCAGAACATTTCAAAAGTCGTCGTCCATTTCTCCTAGAGAGCTGTCCCCACCGTCTGCAAGAGGACGGAGGATGTCTGCGCCTCCTCCAAGGAGGATAACACAAGCCAAAATTTCTTCAACATTTCCTTCAAGGACGCGTAACGTCGGTGAACGCACTTCCCCAACTAGAATTTCTTCTGCTTCTTTCAAGTCTACTACTAGAAGAAAGACGATCAAGTCAATTTCCGCAAAAGAGAAAGGAGAAGCTATTGAGGCACAGAAGGATGGGGAGTCTTCCACGCCAGAAACAAACGGTACGGCTCAGCATGAAAAGAAAGACGAACAAAAGGACGATGATAAGAGCGAAGAAGCACCAGAGGCAGTTAAGCCCGATCCAGAGCCGCCATATCCATACCTCACCCTTAAGGAGTTGCCGGCTCTGGATCAGCCCCTCAGACCTCTCTCCCACCTGTGCGAACTGCCTTTTAAGGATGGCGCGAACTCCCCTCCACGCATTGACGTGAGCTAAATGGCGTTTAGCCAGTAACCTCTCCCACAGGGCTAAATATGACCGGTAGTTACAGTTGTGTAAAGCTCGGTTGTTGTCGCCTTGCGTGTGTGGCGAAGTCTTGACGCATATATCTTTCCGTGTGAACTAACTGACAGCGCTCCACAGGCACCAGCAGCAGAACCAGAAGCAGGCAGTTAAAGACGATTCTCCTTATCAAGAAAGGAAGAAGACTCGTGGGAGTGTAAATCTTTTCCCATGCTTGGCGATCTGATGTGTTTGGCGTTCAGGATTCAGTAACTTTCATACATGTTCTGGAGCGCTCGGAACGCCTCACACAAGGCGCTAGAGGTGAAGCCACCCAGCGCGCAGTGTCCCAGCTCTGCAGCGATGGTCCTGGAACGATGCTGCTAGTTGCGCGCTGGCTAGATTCAGAAGCAGATGCTGTCGAGAGCAACACCATCACAGCTAGCGAGAAATTTCCTTGGCGAGAGGTCGTTCCGCCTCTCTTCGTTGGGGCCAACAAGCACCGAGAACTGTTGAGTTCAAAGACGCGCAGCCAGTTCTCACCAAAAGAACTACAAGCATTTCTAGAGACAGAAGGCTTCATTGAAACACAGGGACAAAAGCTACAGCATTTGCTTGAGACAAAGGGCACCACAACCAAGCCCGCAGAAGTACAAGGCGGTAAGTTGCAGCTCTGTCGACGGGTGACAACTATGTACTTTGCTTCACGCAACACCGAGTGCCCTAGAAACCATGGTTTCAGTTTATGCACAAGCTTTTACACAGCAGTGGTGCGAGTGTGATTCAGGCTCTGCGCCGACTAAACCGCATACTCCGCTTGACGACTATCTCGACTACTTACTGTCTGTTGCTGTGGACTCCCTTCGGGCAAGACAGAGGCCCGTTGTAGTTCCGAAGCTAACGCAGCATTCCTTTGGGACTAGCGACGAACCTGAGAGCAGCTGTTGTTGCAGTACGCACTCTAGTGAACAGACCACCCAGACCACCCAGTGTTGCCAAGAAGGCGAAATGCGGAGAAGCCGGGAGTCGCCTCGGGTCAATCCCCCGTCGGTCGTTTCTGAGAAACCCATCGCTAAACAGAGATGCTCTAGCTGCCTGCCATTCAGGGGATCTTCACGAGCTTGGTTCGGCAAGATAAATTCACTGGGCGGCTTTGGCTTCCCTTGCTGTAACTATGGCGACACGACCGGTCCACCTGAACTCGACCTGTTCGAGTCCACAGCAATGCAACAAGTACGAGCCACTGCTTGCCGTATGCCGCTGCTACCTTCTGAAAGATACCTTCGCTATCTCCGGCTGACGGAGCGTTGCAGAGAGCTTGCCGCCCTTGCAATATGGTTATCAGGGAGGTCTGATCTAATCTCTACTTACTATGAGCATGTCGCTTCCAAATATCAGCATGCCCCCGCATCTGTGAAGGTCAACGTCTCTAACGAAAGCGATGAAACGGGGCATTCTCTGAGTGTTGCTACAAATCCTGTGGGGGATTGCATCAATGAGCCATCATCACAAGGCTTCAGTCGACCCCAACTGGGAAGCTCTCCTCATGCTGGTGAAGCATTCCCCATCCAGATTCGTGAGAGCCAAGCGACAAGTGAAGAGAGCAGAAACGCAGGTGGGCAAGATTGTCGGGTCTCAAGCGAAACCTCTTCTTCGTCTGCAAGTTCCCTCTTGACCTCGCCCTCAATTCCTTCGCATATATCCAGGAGCCTCTTTAGGAGCAGCCTCAATGCTAGTGAAGGGACAGAATCCCCCATCGAAAAAGTGGATGAACCACGTCACCATGATGGAACCAATAAAATTAGTGACTCCGGAACACTGCACTCACAGTCCGCCCTCCAGAGTGTACCGCCGCCTTCCTCCAAAATCCGAGCAAAGTTGCGAGGCCGAGCGGCAGAAGGTCAGCTCTACAAAGCGAACTGTGGTTTCCCGGCAGATCTTCCAGAGCAAGAACGTTTTTCTGCTATTCCGACAACTTCAGCGAAATCAAAGCCGAAGAAGCATATTGCGGCAAAGGTTGTATCCCGTGTGGCGTCTATAGAGCAGAAGAATGCTCTTGGTCCCAAGCCGCTGCGGCCGCTCGGACAAGCACAGTGGCAAATACCAACTGCACCAGGGGACCCCCCTTCCCTTCGAGACCCGCAGAACGAAGCAGAGATACTAGCAGCTGCAAACCAAGGTAGCCTTCCGACTGCGAACACAGGGAAATACGAACCGCGTGAGGCCTTAGGTGCCGCAGCTGCCCTTCCGCCCTCAAAGGAAAATGAGTCACCCAAACCTGTAGCCGGGCAAGACCTTGTTGGGTCGTCTTCACAGACTGATGCAGATAAACCCGTGTTACCAGCCCAAGGGCGTATTGGTGATACTTCATCAAGGCGATCTCGTGACCAAACCGTGAAGAAGCAAGCCACTGTGCAGTCCAAGTTGGTTGCCTCGCGCAGTTCGTCGTCAAACCGGTTTAACTTGTCGAAGTCCGCAGCTCGCCGTCCAGCAGCGGCAGTCCAGCCAGAGCGGACTGGAAGTATCCGTAAAGCGATTCACCAAACTCAGACTCCGTCAAGTCCTACACGCTTGACGCAAGAGGCTATGGATCTGTTGTCGGAACCTCAAGTACTGGCTGAGATGGCGAGGCTTTGCACTCGTCTATCAAACCTCGTCTGCTGTACGTCAGCTTCCCCTCCTGTTGATCTCCACTCTGGAGATGACGAGGCTTCTGCCACTTAAAACTGTCTCTACAGTGCATCATTGGGAACGATCAACAGATGGGCGTCTGACGAAATGACGGCTACAATGAAGAGCTAGGGACTCTCTGTCGCAGCCAAGCATAGCATTTGCTGTTCCACAGGTTACTTTGTTTTTTATTTTTGTACGGTTGGTGAAATCACGAAGCCGCGAGTTTGCGGGTGAATAGGCTACAAGCCTGTTGTTCTGAAGCAGAGGGCTTATATGCCAGACCTAGTTTTCTAGTCCTTAGTAAGCAGGACTGTTCAAAGGCACTGGTTGTGGCCAATAAACACGGCCCTAGCCTCGTGTCTCTGTAGGAGAGAAGCATCACCATTGAGTTCCTTCCATGTTTGTGACGAATTCGTTATTTTGTTTGCCCCAAGTGCAACTAGCGTTTTCAGCATGCACAGTAGTCCGTATTCTTGTTCTCCACACCCCTAGACAGAGGCTCGTGAGTGTGAGGGCCAAATCGGCCAACCACTCTGCCGGTCACGCCCTGCAAAAATGAGACTAATTCTAGCTGTTCTCAGTAGTGTAGTCCTGCAATGACGTAGCTGAGTGAAAACACCGCAAGAGTGTGCGGTAGAGGAAATGGATTAGACAAGCTCGCAAGCATTCTCTCCTATTACAGTCATCGCACTTTTACGCATAGTGATTGGGCCCTTGGAGGCTCTCTCAGGGTCTCTCATAAGTTGAGACCGCCACTGTCAACTGGCAAAGAACAAGCCAGCTTAAAAGGCCACATCATCTGGACTAGGCTTTAGTATTTAGAAGCAACAAAATGCAGATTTTTTTCGACTTCCTCCACGACAGTCATCTGATCCTACATCGCCTCTGGCTGGATCCTGCTAGCACAGGAACAGCAAGAGAGTGCAGCGCAACATTCAGCCAACATGCTGCTGACAGTAGTGAAGTTTTGCATTTTGTATCAGGTTACGTATGCATTGGTTAAGGCTTTTTCGTGGCTAAACCACAGCATTTTCATTTGTTGCAGCAAGGCATGACGGTTCTTGAAGGAGGCTAGTCTCCATCACAGGATGGTTCAACTAAGCACAAAACCGCAGCAACCCTCGATGTAAAGCAACCCATCCTGCTCCGCCGAAACAGATTATTGCTTACGAGATTACTCCGTAACATATGGTGACCTGCGGGGGAGCTGACTACCCCTTGTCTTTTAGTAGTATGGGTTGGCGACGATTCCAGTATTCCGGGTGGCCAGTGAGGGCCTAAGCAGAGAACAAACACAAACGCGGCAATTTCACGAAGGCAATTCTGTAGTTGCATAAAATATCTGATATTGAGTCATACGCAACTGCTGTCGTCTTGGTACCGATGAGTGATGAGTTGGCGGCGACACGCGGAATCCCTGACGAACTGGACGCAAGATCATTGACGACTTCGACACTAGAAAGCGTGTGGCACCCTCGAGGTCTTGAAAGCAACTGGCACATGTGTTGCTGTTGCTGACGTTGATTCCACTCTTGCTGAGCTTGAAATGTGCTCACAAAAGCCTCTAGATCGTGGAGGCGTTGTTCTTGGTTGTGCAAACGATTTTCTTGGACTCTGAGCTTCCATTGTTGGTGCTGGATTTGGTCACAAAGAGCGTTTATTACGAGGTCTTTGGTAGCTGCAGAGTTTTCGCTGGTTTTGCATGGGCTACTCGGGCGCAGCCTGACTCCATGAATCGCTGTTGATTCCGTCTGGTTTGGCTCCACAAACTTGGCAACTGGCGCAGTTGCATGGCCTTGGTGCGGACACGACTGGCCTTCTGAGGCCCATTCTCTGTTACTGTGAAGGCATCGCGACACATTTGCTGCACTGTGAGTTTGTGGATTCGATGGGGATATCCCTTCCTGCTGCAAAAATGGTTGTTGAAGCATTCTACTACTGTTCTGACCTGCTGATTCTGAACGGGCCTGCAGGCCTCGAGAAGGGTGGTGCACGGAAAATATCCGAGTTGGCGATACACGTTCGTAGGCCTTAGTTTCAAGGAGTAGGCCAGGCTCATTCAGACTTGCTCTACGGCGATGGTCCGGCGGCACGGATGAATTCCGCAGGACTTCACAGCTTGCACCACTGACAATCTTGCTCCGGTACCTACAAGTGGATCCTTCGCCTGCTTGCTCTGGCACATCCGCAACCACACTGACTAAAGTGGCAGCATCTTGAGCTATTTCTCGCTTCGCAGACCCACCAGTGTTTTCCATCATAGGTTCGCTGTATGGTTGGTGGCTGTCGACGAAACTTTCATGAAGCATTTCCCTGGACTGATCTGTAGGGTACTGCAGAAACTCCTGGTTGCGCTCTTGAATCTTTTCTGCATTTCTATCATATTGGCGCTCCCTGGGTGTATTCGCTTCAGCCGTTCCATGAGGGGAATAGAAGCTTGCCAGTCCTGTAACATTGCAAGAGACTGACTCTACAACGGTACTTCTGTGGCAGGTTTCCAAGTCAGCCATGTGGCTAAGCAATGGTGAAACTGCTCCTTTGTTGTGTGCGAAAAGCAGCGGCCTCAACAATTCCAAAGAATGGACAGTAAAGGCCGACACTCTGAATATGTGAATGGCAATCTGCGTTCCTGAACAATGAGAAATGGAAGCATCGCAAATACGCAGTGGAGAACCAGAAGTGGTATCTGGCGTCTCGGCCGTTGTTCCCATTCAGGCTAGAGAATGAATGCGTACAGGAACATCCTGAAGTTGCTAGTAATTTAAAAGTTGATAGAACATCGTAAGTCGCAAAGGTAGACTAACCAGGGCCTAGGCATTCTCATTCGTACAGGAGCGGGCTTCGTGCATCCTTCCGCGCTGTGAACACGGCATCACTCAGCTGCACAACGGTTCCCTGTATTGGGTCCAAGAGACAGATAAGGTAGCATTTTCTCGTTCTATTGTATTTTCAATTTTTCGTTGCCTTCAAAATCCTTTTTCCTCCAGACCCAGCACCATCTTTCCTGCTCGAACAACTCGGGCGAGGCTGCGCGCTCGGACTATGCGCAATAGGGTCCTGGCCTGTTATCTTTCGGGACACCATTAGATTCAGTCAGTTATTTGAGCCTATTTAAAGATGATTTTTGTCCACACAGAGATACAAAATATTTCATTTCAAGGTGGGGAGAGCACCCGTGCTTTTCGGCGCTCTCTTACGCTGCCGCATTGAGTGCAGCACAACTCTGCAGGTGCTCGCTGAGTAGCTTTCTCTGTCTTGTGCTCCCCAAATCATATGCTTTAATAGTTTAACCTAATCGAAAACAGTTTTTAATGGAGCCTTTTCCCTAACGAAGTGCTCCACCGCGCAGATCTTCACGGAGCACCTGCAACGACCCTGCCCAGTCCCATTGAGTGGAATTGGTTGGTTCCTATTGGAGTACGTGGATAATTTAAGATTCCTTGTATAATCAGACTTCAACAATTCCATGTTCGAATTTATTCAGAGTACTTCAGCACTTGTCCAGGGCCTCTGGGTGCAGACGGCTGGGAAGCGGTCGTCGCTCCCAAACATCAAAACTATGCTAACTAACACGGCGTAAGTTGTTCCCAACTTTGGCAATGTTATGCCTGCAATTTTTCAATGTCAACAGTGCTACTTACTAGTAGGGCTTGCATCCGAGTATCTGTTCTAGCATAGGCGCAACGAAGGCTTGTGCCCGACAGAACAGCCTTGCCAATACCACCTTTTGCTCTAGAGAACAGTCTTCCAGGAAACCACACAATCAGCTTCTCAACAGCGAAGAAGAACAAAGGCAAATACAACCAAAAAGTACGTGGATAAATTCCAAAATGACAGGAGGGAAGCAGCACAATATCCACCTATCCGCCGCCGCTGGGGCGGAATTCGATGCCTCTGCTTACGAGGGTCCTCTAATGAAAACAGATGAAGTTGTGGCAATGAGGAATCTTTTTGAAGCCTGCGATACGGAAGGAACTGGCAGGATACCCTTGAAGGAGCTTAAAAACAGGCTCGTAGTAAGAAAACGTTGATACTCGGCTCCCGTCCCCTAAAAAGCCAACTACCACAATCTGCGAGCAGTTGCAGTGCCTGAATCTCAGTACAGCAAAATGTTTACAGCCGCAGTGCGAACGCGTTGTTTCAGGCTGCTGGGTTTGATGTGAAAGGCTCGGCTTTGGCCGAGATTCTTAGCATAATCGACGGCGGAGGAAGAAGAGTAGTGACATTTCCTGAATTCATGCAGCTTGTTACTCCTTCGTCAGACACATCTTCCCCCGAAGAGGTTTTAAAGACATTTAAGCAAATGGACACAGATGGCACGGGGCGTATATGCGTTAGGCACATATCGCGGGCCCTCAGAGAGGCCAATATGACCTCCACGATAGCTCAGGAACTTTTGAGTCAAGCAGATGCAGACAACGATGGTTGCATCTTGCTGCAAGAACTGCAGGAGATCTTCAGTAAACAGACATACCCGTAGCAAAACAGACATACCCGTAGCAATCTGGTGGAATGTTGCGCAGGACAACGGCAAGTGACTGGCCCTGGATCCAGCAGCAGAGTACGCAGTGAACACCAACAAAGCCCCTGTTCAAGTGCCGCAATTGACCACTTTATCGCAGATCCTACATTGTATTGGCTTCATCTATTCAATGGAGTCGAGTAAAGTAAGATCATTATTCCCGTAATGATCTTATTTGACTTGATCTCACCAAACGCCACTGTTACCTCACCTCTTTCACTAAAAAACTTGGTATATGCTCTCTTCATAATTCATGGAACCGTACCACGTGTCGGGTTACGAAGGCCTGCTTACCGGTGTATTACGAAGGGTAGAGCTAACGAAAAGGGGATTTACTCGTTAATGAATGCTCTTTCGACAAAAGACCAAGCAGGAATCACGCGGAAGGCCCCGTCGTCTATGTACGAGTTGGCGCAAGGCAAGCCTGGCCTCCACGTACATGACAGAAAGCACACAAGAAGCGGCTGTTCTACAGCATGCTCCGACAAGGTGAAGGATTGGGATATTCCCTACACATCCCTATAACCCCCCCAAGCTTGGTTGGACGAGGTTCAATTTTACAGTACAGCGGGGCTCACGAAGAATTACGCCCAGCCGACTCAGAAGACTTAGACAACACCTTACTATCCACCTAAAGCGCTGCCCCCTCTAGAGCTCTGTCTGGAGAAGGACACGCCACGCAGTGGGGCATGATACGTGCATAGCCCACACTACTCATTGCTACGCACTCAGGAGAGATTACTGCATTTGCATTCAAGTCTTTCAACAGCTAAGAAGGCGAGCAGCAGCCCAGCCATACACTGCCTGAGACTGGGTGCATTATTACAGCTGGTGTCTGAATCTGGCCGGCTGGTATGCGCTCGGCTAATCAGGTAAAGCCATACCCTCAGGTTTCCGCTAGCAAATGTACACCGCACTACACAACCTTGTCTGCTTGATTGGCACGAGGAAGTGAGCCGAAATCTCCAACTGCCATACACACAATCATGCAGAAGCACTCTTTTGCATGAATAAATTCCTGCTTAACTCTTTATACGGCACCGTAGGTAAGCCTTCTTCACAGTCGAGACATGGTCAATCAAAGGAGGTCTATTTAGTGGCAGCAGGAGTAGCGGCATTCCACTCCTCTTGAAGGAAATACAATGCTGAACAGGTATTCGTTTTGCCTGAAGGCACCATCATCACCTGTGTGTCTAAACAAATCTGATGGCGGCCTGAAACCTCACAACAACTTGCTGTCGCGTTCCAGCACTGCGAGCACATACGTATGGAATGTGAGAAACGATCTAAAACGACAACTTATCTAGAAAGCAAAAACAGAAAGCAAATCCACAAACGCACTGGAACTCCTGCACTCACCGCAAATGAGCATACTTCATGCCACTGCACCTCTTTCACTTCAGTCCACTATGAAAAGCAGGAGAAGTTACAAGACCTCGGGTCTTGTCGGGCGCCGAGTCTTTAGTGACGACTGAAGAGGGCGCAGAATTAAAGCTTCCTTGATAGAAGCAGGGGTCAGCGGACACTGTTATGTGTAACCCAGTCCTTTAGCACATTCCGATTTATTCGTCGCTCGGATACAGGAGGTATGGTAAGGTTGGGCTCTTGCCTGGCTTATGTAAGGCCTCCGATTGTGTATCTCTAGCTTTGCCTACAGGGGCTGCCTGCACACAGCGAAATCACCTATGGATCAACCCAACCTGCATATCTCAGCAGCGACCGAGTATAGTCACAGAATTGCTGTGCTGCAGGGAGTTGCCCTGGTACGATTTCGGAAGAAGGTACAACTCATAATAGCCTGAGGCTCACCACGGAGAAACCTAACCCAAATTCATGACTAGAACTCGCTGATTCTGCTTGGAAGGAAACCCTATGCACGTAGTTTTAGACACGAAATATGGAATACGAGTTCAAGATACGACACGTATAACAGACTCCTAAATTTCAAATGCTTGAATACTGCAGCGATCTGCGTAACCTCACGGCAATGTCTTTTGAGACAGGCATTCCGGCAGCAGGGAGTAAACGCTGAGCAGCTGTGCAGTACTGCCTCTACAGCTTTGGATTAATTTGTCGAAATACGAAAAGAATGAACGGAACGCAAATTAAAATTTAGCAGTTCAATATGCAAAAGGGGAGGGCTAGCGACGTGGCCTGCGTTGGTCCGTGGAAGGGGTACCCGTTTGTGGGGCTGGAGGCTGGCCGACTCATTCCGACGGCGGATGCGTGGATATGAACTGGAATTCTGTAATTTACTGAAGTATTTTAGAACCTACAGATGGCGAATCTGCCTGGCAAATCTGTAGGACTTCCTGATTCCCTCACACAGACTGGGGCAGCGTCCCTGCTGTAACCCAGTTTCCCTAGCGTGTTGAGGGCCAGGCGAATGCCACTTGCATCAGCCGTTACTTGTATCCACTCTGGCCCATGACCCAAGCGTGACAGCTATTGTACAAGTTGTGGATCTTCCCGAAGCTGCGCTCAGCGACCCACTAGCGCCAGGCAGCGCAGAACTGTGGTTAGAGAAGTTCCCCGTCCTCGTTTTTGATGCCTTCCAAGTAGTCAGTAATTATACGGCTTGCTACGGACGTTATACTGAAAGTTGACAACGCGAAGCGCCTACGAAGCGGCTTCATAACGGGGGGCATATTACGCAGGGAAACATGCAGCAAGACAAGACCCTCCCTCTGCTGGATGATCCTGGGGCCGTAGAGGCCGCCTGTTTTGCAGCTATTAATCAGTCATGTTGCGGAAAGGGTGGAATACCTTACAGAGACCTCGACAAAGCTCGACTTGCGTACAAGACGAGAGACGTTGACGCCACGAGGCAAGTGAAGAGGGCTGGGTGCATGCATAGAGATAATTTGCAGTTTTGGCTTGGGGCGACGCTGTTATCAGAATGCGTTTGCTAATTGAATCCAGCAGATATATTTTCCATTGGTTCGGCGCATAGGGCCAAATATGCAGTGCATGCTTCCGGTTTGCTTCTGTAGGGAGGCGCATCAACACACCCATCAACAAAAAGCCTATGACGAGCTGTCCTGTTCGCATACGGAATCGCACAAGAAGACGTCTTCAGATTATTTGAAAGCCATCGTATTTGGAGGCCTTGATGGTGAGTTGCTGCTGTTTTGAACAACTTTCGAATCCTCCTTCAGGGCGTGTGACAGTGTGAGTGACCCTGCAATGCTTTTATTAATGGTTTTTGAGGTAAGGGGTGCGGGAGTGCCATATGTTATTTCAGGCATCGTTACGATCTTCGCTATTGTTGCCGGATGCGTCGGGGCCAATCTGCACCCCTCCAAGGTCGTCATCATTGGCATTGGAAACCTCTTAGCAGATGCTATTAGCATGGGCTTCGGCGAGTTTGTTAGCTCTGCAGCAGAAGAAGACTTCGTGAAAAGCGAACGGGAAAGAGAGGAGTGGTGAGCCACTGCACATCAGGGGCATCCTTCTCCACGGGATACTCGCGTTAGCGGCATGGCAGCCTGATGCTGCAACCACGAAATGCGTCACTGTATCAGCCAACACGAGACTTGTGCACATGGTTGCTTTTTCACAAAGCAACGACCGAGGGAGTTAATGATCATGACGTTATTATTGGTTCATGTAAAAGCAACTGGGTGCGTTTGTTGTAGGGAGATAGAGAACTGCCCCAATGAGGAGAAACAGGAAATGGTCGAGATTTATCGAGACCGCTATGGCTTCACAGATGAAGACGCAGACTGCCTAGTCAACATCACCTTCAAGTATCGCGAGTTTTTTGTGCAGCACATGATGGTGGAAGAATTAGGTCTGATGGCTAATGAGGGCCCCAGTCCCATAAGGCGAGGTATTGCACAAAATCTCGGACATTCCACTGGGGCACACTGTGCACGAGTACCGTAGACCTTTCCGTGGTAGCTATCACGCAGATGCAATTACCTTTTTCAGTGAATAGTACCAGTGTAGTGGCGTTGTACGTGCCACAGTGGGGTGGGTTGAAGCTCCTCAGCTCCTCAGCATGCGTTCCTGCTGCAGAGTGTGTTTCAAGATCCAGTTAGCCCACTCGGAAGCATGTATAGATGCACATATGCATATACGTTTGTGCATTTGCCATGTATATGCGGCATGTCTACCTGGAGTCGAAGCGAGGTTGTTGGTCTTGGCATTACGCTTCTCTGCAGGCGCAGTTATGTTCGCTTCCTTCTCCATTTTTGGCCTGCTGCCTCTTGCTGGGTTTGTGGCGTGGCTAACGCTTTCGGGCATGAAAACAGACGGCCACTTGGCTTTCGCCATGGCATGCGTTATCTCGGGAATCGCTCTCTTTATATTGGGCTTCTTCAAGGTAGGGGACTACGGACAGTGGGGAGGGCCGCCTATTGCACTGTCTACATATATACAATTTACAGTAAACCTGCAAGCGCTTTGCCTTTTTACCCGGTGCTGACAATGCAATGCATGTACGTAAGTATGTACACAATGTGTAGACTGTCGTGTGGCTTAGCAGAAACATGAACCGGTAGTGTTGCACTGTGCCAAGTGCAGCAGGATTCATTGTAGACAATTTTGATTTCGCAGGGTCGCTTCGTTAACCAGAGTCCTCTGAAGTCAGGGCTTTTAATGATAATAAATGGAACGTGCGCAGGAACGGTGGCCTACGCAGTTGGGGCTGCTTTAGAGGTGAGCCGAAAGTAGTTGATAGAAGATAGAATTGGTAAATCAGGATCTGAGCGCACCAGGTTTCCTGCACTAAGTTAAGTGGCATCTGCCGATAGCTTCTCGTTTGCCATGCTCACATCCTGTTGCTGGCTTCGGGTTTCCGCCTGAACCTAAAGACCTAGACCTAAATGCTAGGGAGGCTCGGTGGTGCGGCTGTTCTACAGGATGTTGTTGCTGTGACCGTGTAACAGCGGCCTGCCTCCATCACCAGTGAGTGGAGACAGAACCGTTTGTCTCTATCACCAGTGTTTGGAGACGGGCACTTACTGACATCGCTTGCTGTCCTGTTAACCCCACAGTAACTGCTTTGTGGGTTAAAATCTACGCGCTTGTGCGTTACCGGCCATGTGCCTCCTTCCCCCAGACTATTTGGAACAGGCTTTAGGAGTACGTGGCTGCTAATTCCCCTTTGCTGCTGCTGCTGCTGCGTAGTTGCACAGCTGCACATGCCCTCTACAGCAGCATAGAAGCTGCATGAGCAGTTTTGCTCACAAGACTCCAGAAGTCCCGGAAGATCCGCTAATGTTGGTCATGGCCACCTCGCTTATGCTGACTAGAGCTCGGTGGCCGTTAGTAAGAAACTACAAAGAAACCATTATTCTGATAGACTTTTCATTGGTAACTGCTGGGTAAACTGCCATTAGTTTAGTAACCCCGCGACGGTGTTTTCACCATGTGAATACATATTGCTCTTGATACAGAAAGGAAAAAACGGATTTCCCAGTTGAATCGCATAGTAGCCCTTCGTGAAGTTCTGCCTCACGAAAAGCTCCAGCAGATGCGTAGCCGTAAGCAGCTACTTCAAACATTACGCGTGCTGAGAGTCTGCTGTTGAGGACTATGGTATTCGCGAGAGGTTCACTGTCGTAGAAGGCGACCATCCCGAAAAGTTTGGTGTGCTGCCGGATATGTGTAACACACCACAGCGAACCTCATCTACTGAGGCTTGCTGGTGTCTGAAATACTGGAACACTGACAATTCTGGAACACGGCAAGCGGAACTCGCGCCAGTTAAAGGTGGCACTGCGAAAACTGGAAATGCGACACCAAACCCTCTCTGTGGAGTTCTCAATGGCTTGTCCGACACATTAAATCATTCCCGGAGGGGCAGTGCATCTCTTCTACCATTCGAAACGCCTCATGGCTTCCCTGAAGGGCCGAATGCACAACGTCCCACACCTAGATACTGGACAGACGGAAAGAGTAGTTACTAGAGTAGAATTTGTGAGATACGGCGTTCGCAAGGTTCCAGTATATAAAACTGGATAAAGTGGGGTACCTTACTGTCGTCTGACGTCTTGCTGCCAAATGACAACTGCTGGGTCTGCTGCTGCCTAGGCTGAAGATCCAAGCTCCTTTCACGAAAGCGCGGCTGCTGAGCCAGTTCCACTTCCGAGAGGCCAGGTGCACCCTCCCCAGGGAAGGAAGTCATAAAGGGTAGCCTCTGTTTCTTGTACTCGAGCATGAGGCTCTTGACGATTGGCGAGGGTTCTTTCGAACTCGCCAGATGCTCTCGAAATAGTTTGGGCATCAGTGACAAGAGAGACATTCGGCGCCAAGGCACGAATGGGTGGCTTGGAAACGCCAGGGTCGACATGTAGTCCTCTGCAACAGGCCTCACCCAGTCTCGAAGCTGCACGCATCACAATACAAAACTCCTTACGTCCAGACGTAAGCGAACGTACCGCCAAGGGGACCAAGTTAATCCAGTGTTTGGGCAGTGCAATTTTGCAGTGGCTTGCGTGTTGCACAGCCCAAACACGGATTAACTTGGTGACAGCGGCAGTAGTAAATGTAAAGACTCAGATAAACGGGTAGCTGTAAAGGACGAAATACTCAATACTCGCAAGGCAATGGCACAAAACCATCTACAATATAGAGTAATCGGACTTTGGGGATCAGCGGCGTTAAGACAAGGAAGACCGCAGCCATTCCGAGCAAAGCAGCACCCAAATTCCTCATGTTGGGCGACCTCTTCATCGAATCCCAGTTCATGTCGAAGCGGTGGCAGGCTGCAACGCAACAAAAACCAAACAGACAGAAGGGCATAGGTTACGTTGCACGGACACCTTCCCTCTATACAGCCCTGGCCACTCACTAGCTTACAGCTCACTCTTGGAGGCACGTGTCTAGCCAATATGTCACGCGAAACACTGTTCTGCCAACTGAGGGTGTCTGCAATCGTGCATCGCTCCTTACCGTCAGATATTGTCACAAGCATGACGAAAGGCACCAAGTGTTTGATACACACACACCAGTACGTCGATGGGCGGAACATAAAGAATGGCCTCGTCAAGCACCCACAGAACAGTGTAGGGAAAAGCCCAATTACAGATGTTCCCGCCATGTTGGGCTGAGGGAAGAACAGAGTAACTCGTGAGACCTCGTTGCACAAATCCCGCACTCCGCCCAAGTACAACGCTAGGAAGCGTTCCTGGAAACAGGCACACTATCACACTTTCCAGTAAATTGAGACAATGAACGCATCTATGGTATGAATGGCGATGTAACATGACGTGACGTGTGCGTCTCTGAACAGCACCAGTAGGGCTTGGAAGGCCCTAATAACGCGGGAGTCTACGCCGGGTCATACCTTGAAGGTCTTAGCCTGTGCTTCCGGGTCTTTTATGAATGCAGCTACGCCGACCGCAATCAAAGCATTGATGAAAATCATAACCCAGATAGGCAGGAAGATGCTGTCTTGGCAACAAAATACTGCAATTAAGTAGCACGCCCCCACGATAAAACATAATCCGCCGAAAAGGATACATGCTGCAGAAGGCAAATTCACAACAATCCTCTTTAGCCTTCGGTGAAGCGGAGTGAGGACATCGTATGCCTATAGTATATTCAAGAAACAACATAACGTTAAGAATGGCCTAAATAACGAGACGGGGACAATCTACCCATTAGCTTTGGGCCTCCGGAGCTGAATTACCTTTGAGCCCAACAATAGTTGCCTGTCGTTGAAAACCCATTACCCATCCAACGTAGAAGGTAGTGCAGAAAACCGAAACCGGGACAAGCAGCCATTCTACGATGTATGACATGTATTGGAGTCTCTGTGTAGACAGCAGACAAAACGGTGGAAGCAGCAAAAAAACCCTGCATACCTGCATGTACCGCTTCACATTTCATGGCTGCAGGCTAGACACGATCTGGGGTATTCAAGAGTGCATAAAATGCAATGATATCCTTCCTTACGACTTCCTGGTTGTTTGCGCAGAACGGGAGGGAAATGCAGTAGCATATGATCACGATTACTGTGCTTGTGACCCTCCGCCAACTATTGTTGATGAGGCGTGACTCCTGCAGACAAGCATCTCCAACCCAGTAGTCCACACCTTCAAGATACACTATTGCGCGGAACGGAACAGTAGTATGATGCCAAAGGGCCATGTGATATCAAATGCTTTCAACATCGCACAGTAGACAACTTATAGTTGGGCCATGCAGTTCAACTAGGCACCAGTGAGCCCACCAGAACGGCGTTAAAAACAGAGTGAATTCCGATGGCCGCAACTTGCGTGTTTATTAGGAAAACACCTCCGTAAAAAAATAGGCCAAATAGCTGCAGGGAAACCCCACAAAGTCATACGCGCCATCCACAATCATTACAATCACGGAAGTATGCCACAGAAACCCGAAATTTCAATGATTACTTCAGCAGCAAAACTTCACAAGGGCGCGAGAAGTGCACGGCAATCAACTCGCAGGACCCGCCTAGCAGTTAAGCAACGCCAGAATGTCCAATGCTAGAACAACCACCGCCCAACACCTACATAAGGAGACGAAACCTTTTCGAAGGCAGCAGGAAAAACCACAAAGTAGGCGGGGGCGGTGCCTGTCTTCCGTATGATTTCAGGAAGCGGAATGTCAGTGACCGCCTGAGATGCATAATAACGTACGTAAGCATGCACACACGCCCCGCGTTCCAAGTGAGCTAAACACAGTACCACTAAGTGTACTATGATTCGATATCTTGCTGTGGTGAGCAACTGGGAAACCATGATGGCTGAGGTGGACTTCGGGAGAGCGATGAGAAGCAGCACATGAGTGGATGTGTCTGCTTGGATGTACATGGAGATTCCCGACGATTGACAGAAGAGAAACAAATGGTACCAGAGCCATCACGAACTCTACGATGCACGTGAATACGCCGCTTGGGTACGTGTTGAAGCCGATCCTGTTGTGGTCACACGCCCAAGCATACTCGAATTTAGCTGATTAGGTTGATAAGAAGAAAGATGTATAAACAAGGTGCAACCAAAACAAGTAATATATTCCACAATGCGCTACCAGGCTGTCTGACTTTGTGTAGCTCGAAACTGTGCCTAAAATGCAACAGCCGAGACAGAGGTCTTGGCAAATGTAGCGAACGAGCGACGCAGAATACGCCGCATCAAAGAAGCCGTGGATCAGAGGTCGCCAATCAAAGGTTGCTGAAACTGCCGAGGCAACATGCACGCTTCCGTCGGTTCCCACGAAGAAGGAAACAACGGCAAGGGTGGCACAAAGGACCATTGCAATGATCATCAAGATAGCAGAAGCTGAAAACAAACACAATGAAAAGCTCCCGACCGTCGAGACCACCATACGGGCAAAGAGATCCAAGAAGGGAATTGGCCTCTCTATCTTGGCTTCGACGCCTGTGCCGACCAAAAGTGTGCAATTCCAAACGAAATGGTCGAAACGCGGAGATGCTCACGAAATCCAGCTTTAAACAGGCCTCTCCACATGTACGCGAGGATGTAGAGCCACACGAAAGCCAGAGTAGATAGTGCCTTTGGCCTCAAAGCGTCCGGATCTAGGCTGCTATCGAGTGTAGATGGCTGCAGTTCTTCCAGATAATGCAATGTTGCCTAAGAACAACCCAGCAAATGATGTTTGGCTTTATCATTCGCCCCCCCTTAGACGGAGCAGTGAAGAAGCACAAACGGCGACGCTGACCGCTGCAAGCCAGAGTGCTTGCGTGTCCTGCATGAAAGAGTCTCCCACTGATAAAGGGCGAATGGAGAATGCTAGCAGTACCATTCTGCTCAGCTCGATAAAAGAGAATCAAGAAGTGTGTGTATGCATAACTATATACAGGAATTCAGATTCTCTCACCTTGCCAGTAGGAGAAGCAATACAGATATTGGTGTCAGGTACATAGGAGCACAGCACCCCATGACCTGCTGCATTGCACTCGTCTCTATTTCCATGAAACCCGTTGCAGAGTTCCATGTCACTCACGGTGACTTGCCACGGCTGCGGTCTTGAGAAGCTTGAAACAAAATAAATCAACAACTGGCCACTCAAAACTGAAGAGGAAGCCCAACACAAGTGCAAGCAACAAAGGACATGTCGAATGAAGAGCTTACTTGCGGAAACAAGGCATGAAGAGAGATCGCAATATTAATTAGTTGACAACTAGAGAATGTGTAGAAATGCAAGTGCCTCAAGCTGCAAACAGGAGGGGTTAGTCAGCCGCGCGCCACGCAAACGAGCATACAAAAACTCCAGTTTTAAGGGACTAGTGGTAGCTGCACACTCTCACCCGCAGTGATAATGACAAATGAAATCGACGTCAACACCTGCAAAATGCCCAGCCCCACCAGCCACCGGCTGAGCTGCGTGTTCTGCTTGATAGCAGCGCCACGCAACAGATTCCCAAGAACGAGCTGCAAAACAACGCACGAACCCCACTACCCGTTCGACGGTCTATGGCAAGTCGTGTGACTTGCATTCTGTTGTACAGCAAATCCAGTGCGAATCCGCATAAGAATGTATACGAGTTTCCGCCTGCAGAGTGTTGCACCCATTGCAGTGCTCGAATGCTGCTGGCGGCGCACCTCTAACTGAAGCGTCGGCAGTCCGACTGTGAAGAGGAACAGCAAGTACGGCAGGAAAAACATCGAACTCCTCCATATTTGGAGTTGCTGCCAGTATGTCGTGAAGTTGGAGGCTCCCACGACGGCCCCAAAGAGCGTTGAATACACTAATGTCGTCGAGGAGTACCATCCGCGCCTCCTCTGTCTCTGCAGCCAACTCTGCCACTGGCTCTGCGTTTCTCCCCCTTCCTGTGCACCGTAAATGGGGCCCCCTCCCTGCCCTCCAGAACCCTGACCTGTCGGCAGAGAGGGTCCCGCACCCCCCGGATCTCTGAATGGGGCCCACTGCGGCTGGCCATCCTCTGCATCCGGCTTAGGCCGCGCTGAGGGGTCGAACGACTGAGGGTAGCGGTAGTAGAAATCGCCTTCTGTCAGCAGCACCCCGTGCTTCTCCTGGTAATCCAACGCCTCCAGCTGTACACGCAGCAGCTCGTGCTCGTCCAACTTGTTCTCCATACGCACCTGAAAGCGAGGCGCAACCCGCAATGGGATTTTATGCAGACATCTAAAGGAACAACTGCTTCACTCAATCTAGACGCCATTCTTGACTGTTCCCAAACGAATCCGTGGCAAGGTGCATCGGCACGGTGTAGGGGTTGCATGCAAGGTCTTGAGCTAAAACAAGCAAAAACCTGGTGCAAAGCAAACCTTTTGAGTGAAGAGAGGGGAGTGTCTGAAAGCGTTGGCCTCGTGGTACATCTGCCTCCTTAACTCATGTGGCATATCCGCTGCCGTCGCGGCCGCTGCCATCTCTTTCGCCGCACTCTCCGCGCCTGAAAGTGAATGCGAAGAGGAACACAGGATAGAAAGAAGAGATAATTAAAAATGGTCAAACCCAAAGTATTAAGCAAGGACCTCGAACCCTTTTAAAGCACCACTAGAAGCTGTTGCGAAATCAGCAGCTCCAGAGAATTTCCACTGCAGGCTCCACTTGGTCGACGAGGTGTTCTCTCCTAATTAGGCAGTGCGTGACACGCTTGGCAAAAGAATATAGCATGCGGCATAATTTGGTGTAAAGAGAAACAGAGGAGGGGGGAGCAGGAAAAGCAGCAAGGTATTCTCGGCTTCTTTTTGTGGTTTTCTTTGCCTGCGGGGAATGTCTGGTTGGAAAGCAAGCCTATGTGTCCTATGCAGAAACAGTTGTTAGAGGTACATTCTACTTCGAAGGTTCTACTATAAAGGCAATACGTGAAACGGTCAACAGGCGCACCACTGCCTTCGCCTTGTTCTCCAGCCTGCACGGGCAAAGACGCGACTTTCTCGAGGTTGCTGACGCCCACATCTCCAGCACCCTGGCGTGAAAAACTCGTACGCAAACGGCGCATCTTCATTGTGCCGCTCCACTCCAGAGGAGAGTGGCCTCCCCTCTCTTGTTTCTCTCTTCACTTCTCTCTGTCTCCCTCCCTGGCTAGAGGTTGCCAGGGACGGCGTTCCTGTACGCGCCAAAATGGATAAATAAACAGCTCCTGCTGTGGTGGCACACAAAATGCAATAACTCCACCACCGATTCAATCTTGAAAATGTTCGTCAGCTGTAGCAAGGAAGCGCGCAGGGCTTCTGGAGCTGCCGTGGAACAGAGTTCAGCTGTCGCTCCGGTTGCCGCTGCTGCTGCTGTTGCTCCTGAGCTTATAGTTGTCGTGATACATTCGTGGGGACGTCCTCAACCAAGGAACGCAGGGGCCGCTGAAGCAGGCGGGACCCTCTGAGTGAGAGCTACTCTCTGGCTGTCACTGTGCATGCGCTGCTTCAGCCGTTTCTTTTCGCCTCAGTCTGCTCTCCCTTATGACAGAGGAGAACATAGCAACCCATAGACACCGCCAAAACTATCCTCCATCTTTGCAGGGCGGTGTTGTCCGAATGCAGCTTGATGACAAGCCCGGCAGCGCTTGGTGCAACGGCTGCCTTTTGTCAGTGTTCACGCATGCGCTTATGCCCTACCCACTAGGACTTCAGATGTTGTCGCACTGCGAAATAAGCTCAGATGATCCTAACTCTGTCCTCGTAACACCCAGCAGAAACCAGGGAAGGTCTTGAACGCGCTGCATCCGTTGGAAAGGAGCCCCTGGACGAGATAGCGTATTCGTGCTGGGATGTCTGTACACTCTACTCCACCAAAATCTATGCTCTGTTATGCAATCTCCACGTACGACAGCCAGGAGAATGAAGGGCACCACCACCTCGAGCCAACGAAAGAAAGCGAAAGGAGTCCCACAGTGCATACGCCCCCAAAACCGGCTACAAAGGAGCCCCCGCGGAGGCCCTCAGGGCGTGGCATGTGCAGCTTCTTCCGAAACTCCAGTCATTCGCCAGCGTATTGGATTCGCCTAAGTACTGAGCGCGTACGTGGAGGACGCTCCATCCCAATCGGAGGCACGGGAACCTGCTGCTGAACCATAGCAAACCCTACCAACGCCCACCCATACAATTGGAGAAATACAAACCCGATTGAACAAAATATGTCTAATCGGATGAAATTAAACCCTCAGTGGTTTGCCGATGTTGAAAAAAGCTCTTCTGACACGGCGTGGGACTGGGGCCCCCTAAGGGCTGTGTTGCTGTGGTCTTTGCCCCGTAGCCAGGCGCTATTATATCGGTCCTTTATTACCCCTCAATACGGAACAAGTGTTTCAGAGTCTTTTGAATGAGTTCGCAGTTGCATGTCATACCTCTGAACGTTATTGACTGATTGTGCATTGATTCCCACTCTAGTTTCGGAAGGCGGCTTAACGCCTGCAGGGGCATTTAAAAATGAGCACTTGTTTCACTGGTTATGGAAATGATCTGTAATTTTCCCGTATCCTTTCATGCTGAAGTGAAAAACTGAATGTTTTCCTCGTTAAATCAAGCTGCAAAAATACCAGCCGGTTGCTGTCTGCGTTGCAGGTGTATGTACGCCGCGAGGCCTGCTCGCGCATGCCACCAGCATGTGTCCTTGAGTCATGATATACCTTATAACAGCATTGAAACCTAATATTTGCAATAGTTAGTGGGAGCTGAACTCTTAAAGAGCTGATTTGCTCCTCAATTCCATAGGAACAACTCGGAAACCGGGTCGGGCACCGTATTTCTCTGCATTAGCACGCATTGCTACTGGGAGGAGGCAACCCATACCGCCTCCCCCAGATAATTTAGAAGTATTACACCAAGAGTCTAACGGATCTCAAGTGAGTATTACACTTCTTGACGGCCTACGTGAGGTTCTCAATCCAATCCTGAGAGCCACGATACGGTTCCGTATCTTGATACTTCACTTATGAGCAAAGGCTTGAAAGCGGGCTGGGTTGCATCTGGGGGTTCGTGCAGTTGTTGATAGGAAGATCTTTCGCAAGCTTGCAGGTATCGAAACAATCAAGGCATTCGTTGCCCCCCACAGTCTATTGCTCAGCATTATGCTGCCAACCGCCCTTCTTTTATCCATCGCTTTTGAATTCTATGCAGTTTCAATGGTGCCACAAGCACATCCCTCCTTTCCTGCCCTGACTAGTGATGTTTACATCCTAAGTTCGCATTTTGCGGGCTGTAGTGCATGAGTGCTAATGACTCATTTTGTTCCTTTTGCCATAGTGTGGTGCTACACAGGCTGCTGCGCCGTCTTACTACTTTACTCAAGAGTTTCAGTGAATGATTAAACTAATTCAGTAGAAAGGGCCGAATTATAGCCAGCGGAGAGCGACAGACCACTGTATGTATGGCTGTAGAGCTTCGTACACGCTCTCATCTATATATCTCCAGGTGGAGGCCTCAATCCGAACTCCCAGAGGTGGGGTCGCATTATTTTCTTCCTTTCGTGTTTGACTGTACACACTACGTTATATATATATATATATA